AGACTGTCACTGTGGGGGTTTTTGAGCAGAACAGACCAGCTGTGAGGGAGCCTTCGTGACTGTAGGGGAGCAGTGGGGAAGGTGAGCCAGAGGCAGCATTTGCATAATTTCACTTTTTTGTATAAATTTGCATGTTCTCTCCTGGAAGGCCAATCTCCAGAAAGGGAAGATTGGCTGAGGTTTAGGAGGTCTTCCTCACGGCAAAAATTCCAGTGTCTGGATATTTACAAAGCGTGCTTCCTCTCCGCAGGCCATCCCAGCCCACCAATTTAAGGACCACAAGAAGTATTTTGGTTGAAATCAAAGTTCAGTGTTCTGAGCTTTCTGCTCATTTTTTCACGCAGACATACCTACATTCAATCACTACTGGTTGAATGCCTGGTCAGTGCCAGATCGGCACCCAGCATAGGACACCCAGGTGCCTTTGCTGAGGAAGGCAGCAGGATCCAGACTGGTGTGGTCAGGTCTCAGAAGTGCAGTGTTTTCAGGTCACCAGCAGGGGTCAGTACACCCACTCAACTCTGCAGTGTTTTCATCTCTTGGCTCTTAGCCTTTGTTAAGGAGCCCTTCTTGGTCCCCTCTTCACCGCCCTGTGTCCCCTTTCTGTCTCACTTCTCTGAGCACATAATTTCCTCCTTCAGGTCATTTCATCCACCCGTCAACGCAGGACCAGGCAGCCTGACGTCTCTGCTGACCTTGGGGAATCCCACAACAATCCCTCACTTCCCCAGCAGCTGAATGGTGAGCAGAAAGTGCCTGCTACTGTCTCACTTCTGCTGTCAGTCAGGTCAGGTTATCTGGTTTGGTCTGGAGGGAAAATGAGAGTATTCTAGGGTCACTTCTACCAGGTTTTCTTACACACGCTAAGTCCATACCCCTTTTGTGACCCTTAGAACCAAGTTCTAAGAGCTCTGCTGTCTGCCTCACTTGATGGAAATGCTCTCACCTCACTCCAGGACAGCACCCACATGGAACCTTGACTCCTTTCAACCTGATTTCCTCCTTTTGTGGGATCTGGCACATCTCAGACCCTGCTCTTTCAGGTCTCATCTTTCCTATGCCTCCCCCATTCCCACTTTCTTCCATAAATGAGTCCTACAGCTTTACAGGTTCAACCCACTTCTCAACATCTCCTTGACCCTACCCTTGAACTCCTACCTACAGGAAACTCTCCTTCTCCCCACTGTAGGCTACAGAGACAGAACTGAGAGAATCCTGGCTCTGCCAGGTACCAACTATGCTACCTCAATGTAATTCTCAGTTTCTTCATCTGTAAAATGGGACAGTGACACACAGATCAGATATACTGTAAAATCAGATGAGGGGTGTGGAGCTCACCCGAGCGCATCTGAGCTTCACCTGGTATGAGGTATATTGAGCCATCTGGGAGATAGTTCCCTATCCTTTCCTTTTGTGCAGCTGCCCCAAATCCAGCCTTACAGGAACCTACCCTTGTGTGCTCCAGCTGTCTCTGCTTCGCTCACTGCCCTTGGCCCAGGCAGAGAGGACAGGACCAGGGGTCTTGGGGGCAGGAAGCCACTATGCTGGAGAGATGAGGGCAGATACAGGGCTCTGTGGGAACCTCAGACCAGAATGCCATCTTCAGGACTGTGTCCTTACCCAACATGAATAAGACCTGCCTGGGAGTCCACTCTCCTGGCAGCATTGCCCTGGAATGCTGGGGGCCCTTTCTGCCCAGGGGCTGGAGAAGGCTCCCAGAACCCCTAAGACCTTGAGAAGAGCAGAAGGCTGGTGGGAGGGGGAGGAGGGAGGCAGGCAGGGGAATACCAACCACACAATATTCCATCCCTGCTCCTTTCCCATCCACCACCACCCCCTCCACCAAACACGATCTCTGGGTTAATTTTTAGCATTGCAGCTCGCACATTAGTCACTCCCTGTCACCCACCTACACGGCAGGAGGCTGCTGCGCTGGTGCCGTCATCCATCAGCTGAGAGGTGGGATCCAGCCCCACCCTGGATCTCCTCCCCCTCTACTGGGTGTGCATGGCTGGCTGGCAAGGAGCCCCATTCACCTGGGTGAGGGGCGGGGGCACGACTCCCAAGACCAGCTGCCTGGCAAGGGGTGGGGGCAGGCTGGCAGGAGACTGACTGGGAATATACTGGAAAAAAAGTCAAGAGAGGACCCTGAGCCCCCAATCCCAGTAAGGTGCAGGGTGGTGCCCAGGCAGTTGGTCTCCTAGCAGCCCTGGGCTCTGGAAATAAAGGTGTGAGGGCCCTGCCCCTAGACCTGAGCCCCACGGATTTCATGTCTGTCCTCACTGAGGAGCAGCTGTTCAAACACAGAGCTTGGGGAATCTCCATTTTCTTCACCAACTGCACCCACCCCTTCCTAGACCAGGAAGGACAAGACAGCCAGGTGCAGGTGGTTAGCCACCACCCAGCCCCAAAGGGACTTCCAGAGAGGGGCCCACGATACCAGCTACAGGTGGGACGGGGGAGGGGCCGTTGTGTGTGGCCGTGGTGGTTACCTATCCAGTGTTGGCTCAAGGGGACATCCACTCCTTGAGCAGGGTCTCCTGAACACCTGCTGGTGGTGGGCTCAGCATTAGGAGCATTAGGCCATGCAGGGGCAACATTACTGACTTATAGGTTGGTTTTTATTTATTTGCTTATTTATTTTTGTGATGCCAGAAATTGAACCCAGGACCTCACCAATGAAGTGCTCCACCACTGAACTCTACTCCATTCCCAAGGTGCAACTTTAAACAAGGCTGAGGCTCCTGTCCTCCAAGGGCAAAAGACAGATACACAAAAAAAAGCCAGTATAATTACCAAGGAGGAGAACATACTATAAAGAATAAAATAAAACAAACAGGGGACTTGAGATCAAGAATAATGGGAACAGGGAATGATTTTAGGTCAGCTTTGTTTCCTGAACTCTCTGAGGAGGTGATGTTAAGCTGAGGAAAGAGTATTCCAGACAGAGGGAACAGCATGGGCCAAAGCCAGAGACAGCCTGGCATAGCTGAGGATTAAGAAGAGAAAGAGTAACGTGGCTGTGGAAGGAAAAAGAACGTGAGATTGCAGGCAGAGGTGCAGAGCAGAATGTGGAGGGCATCCCAATACAGTTGCACAGGTTAGGCACTGCACAAAGGCTGCCAGTTGGCAAATTGTTGGGCCTGTGTGACTGCTGTCTGCCCAGAGAAAGGGATGCCTTTTGTAATTTGTCTGCTCAAAGGGACCTGTTATGAATCAGCGATGGTAGAGTTTGAACTTCATTTTTTTATTCCACGGGATGCCATTATGGGTTTCCAATAGAAGGTTGTGATCTGATATCCACCTCCCTCTTTTTTCTTTTGTGGTTACTGGGGTTTGAACCTTGCTAGGCAGTGCTCTACCACTTGAGCCATGCCTCCAGCTTTTCTTTTTGAAGGAAACCCCAGATTTCCTTTTTGAAAAGATCACCCTAGGCCTCCTGGTGCTTACTACAGGCTGTGTTCTTACACCAAAAGTAAAGAAGTGGATAAGTAAACCTACCACATATACACTTCAGCCTAGGCCGTGTCTGGTCTGTATTGTGAATGGAAAGACATGGGGTGGGAGAAGAAAGAAAAAAAAAAAAAAAGATCGCCCTAACTGTATGCCCAAGGGGAAGAAAGAAGCAGAAAAGTCATAAAGGATGCAAGTCGGTAGGCAGGAGAGGTTAGGGTAGTGGCCTGGCTGGGGAAGGACCATCTGTATAATGATCACTGCCAGGGAGGCACACAGGAACAGGAGTCTTAAACCCCAGGCCCAGTTCTGCTGCCAACTATGTGACCCTGGACAGCTCACCTCCTGGGTCAGCTTAAGGAAAGTAGTGACCTTGTTTTGGAGATACTTTGGCCCACATTGTATTGAGATTTTACTGTGTGCTACGACTGGGCAAGAATAAAGCAGTGAATAAGACAGAAAAAAGGGCCCTGAGGCCTGCTGCAAGGAGCGTGCATGCACCCATCCTAATGGGCGGGTAGGGCAAAAACCAAAACCCATCAAAGTGGAGACAATTTCAGATGGCAATGCAGAGTGTGGTGAAAAACAAAACAAGGTTAGCCCAGAGGCAGCAATGACTAGTATGGGTGGGAAAGTCTCACAGAGGCAAGGGGTGCTGAAGGAATCTATTGTTGGAGGAACCAGAGCAGAGACCCAGAAGGGGTCTGAAGCCAGGTGCCCCCAGTGGAACCGCATCTGAGAGCACAGGGAAGCGGCTGGGGAGTTCTAGAACAATGGAGCCATCTGGGATTGAACCTATCAGGTGGGACAGGTGGCGGTGAGTCCTCTGTAGATTTGGCTTCTGCCCTCAAGGCAGGCCTCAGAAGCAGAGGGGTGGAGGGGATGGGGAGTAGAGGGGATTGTGGGGTGGAGGTGGGGTGGCAAGCATCCCCACGGGGATAGTTAAGGACTTCAGACAAGCCGTGCCCACCACCTGTTGTGGGTATTTGGGGACAAGACAAGAGGCCCAAGTTCTGAAAAGGGTGTGGGCCTCAGTTCAGGCTCATACATGTCAGTTAAAATCTCCCAGATGATTTCACTGGCTTCAGGCTGTAAGAAAATAAGATGCAAAATACAGTGTGTGTGTGTGTGTGTGTGTGTGTTGGAGGGGGATGAACAGTGGAGTCAGAGCTTGCCCAAACCCAGTCCTCCCCCACAGGCAGTTACCACGCTGACACAGATGCAAAAAAAAACCCATCAATTTTATGCACTTTGTGCTTCAGAAGCAACAGGCAAAACTGTGGTACAGTCTGTGCTGGCCCACCCCACCTGAACATGACTGTCCTTGTTCCCCAAGGGCACAGAATCCAGGACCCCTACCGGCAGGACCCCTACCGGCAGGACCCCACTTAGTTACAGGCCCATGGAAGGGGCCAAGCCCTTAGGAGTCAAGGCCAGAGGGAGGGGACCAGCACCTTGCCCCACTCCAGGGCCCCCTGGAACCGTTTAGTGTGTGTGTGTGTGTGTGTGTGTGTGTGCGTGTGCGTGTGCGTGTGCGTGTGTGTGTGTGTGTGTGTGTAGGATGGGGGAGTGACCCACCACGGGCCACTTCTCCCCAAGGCTGAATGGGAGAGCAAATAAAGCTGAAGAGAGGGCTTCGTGGGGCAGGGTTCCCCACCCCAGGTGGGATTTTTCCTGGACACCCCACAAGGCACTACTGATCCAGACTATAGGATAGTACACCCATCTTTGGCCCACAGACCTCTCCCAAATTTGGAAGGCCTATTCTCCCCCTGCCCCAGCTCCCTCTGTGGTTTAGAAGAGGAGGAGAGACAGGGCCTGGGCTTCCCACTGGCTTGGCAAACAAAGTCAAGCCTTGAACCAACCAGTCTGGTCAGGGCTAGCAAGGACCCTCTCCCGCAGCTCTGGGCTCCTGGGGTCCTCTGGGCCCGGGACTACCACTCCCACTTTTTGCACTGGCTGTCACGAATGAATAAATAAATAAATACCTCCCCGCCCTCCCCCGCCCCTACAGCTGACTCTCCTCCTCCTCCAGCGAGCGGTTGAGTCCCGGGATGAACTTGAGCAGCCGCCTGCGGAAGCTGCGGTACTTGGTCTTGCGCAGCCCGGGGCCGCACAGGGCCTGCTCCCGGGCCTCAGTCCACAGCGCGCCCGGCGCGCCCCCGCCACCACCCCCGCCCGGGCCCGCGCACCGCACGCTGGCACTGCGGCTGAGTGTGGTGCGCGCCCCGGGGCAGGGCACAGAGCCCGGGGCCTCCACGGATCCCAGGCCGGGGGCGCGCGCGGGGGGCAGCGGGGGCGGCAGCGCCGGCGGTTCGGCTCCCCCGAAAAAGCACGTGTGGTACACGGCATCATCGGTGTCACCCCGGGCCCGCCGGGAGCCCGCAGGAGGCCCCCCGGGTGCAGCAAGCAGAGGCCCGAAGGGTAGCGAGCCGGGGAGCAGGCCCGCACCATAGAGGCAGGAACGCACAGACTCCAGCGTGTCATAGATGCTGGGGTCCTTCACCACCAGGCCTGCCAGGGCAGAAGACACCAGGGAGGGCCCTGAGGCCTCCGTACGGCCAGAGGGTCCTCAAGCTGAGGGTCAAAGGGCAGGGTGGGAGATCCAGTTCCTTCCTACTGATCACCTATGTGGCCCTGGCACGGCACAAACCTGAGCCTCAACTTCCTGATCTGAAAAACAGGAATTATAAACTCAATTCCTTATGAGGACCACTTAGGACACAAAGGCCATGACAGGATTGAAAAGCTCTTTGAGCCTTGGTGCTCCCATGTGGAAGATGGAGGTGATACCATCTAATATTTCACTTCAGAGAGCAATTGTGAGAACTAAACGTGTGTCCATCAGCTTAGGGTAGTGATATCTTAGCAGTTCTGAGGGGGACGCAGAAAGGAATGTGGGTGCTGAGCAGGCAGCCCTTCCCACTCCCGGGCCACTCACCATGCACCAGCCGCTGCTCCTGCACCATGAGGGACCTGTATTCTCCCCACTTCTCATACAGGGTTTGCTGCAAGACACAACCCCCAAGCCACCCTGAGGATGTGGCAGAAGCCTTCCAGCTAAGGGAGGTTCAGACAGAGATGAATAAACGCCTTAAAGAGCAGGGCCTGAAGGAAAGGGCTTGGGAAGGGGAAGGTGGAGACTGGCCACTCACCTTCAGGTACTGCAGGCGAGCTTCCAGTTCCGCCTTCCGGATTGACGTCCCATATAGAGTTTCCAGTCTAAAGAATTGAGGGAGCAAAGGTTAAGGGAGCCTGCAGGCTGAGGAAACACAAAGAGGCTAACCGCAGGGTCCCTCAGGCCCCAAGGCACCCTAGTCCGCACCTGAGAACATTACCAGATGCCTTGATGATGTCAACAATCTCCCGGTGCCGTATGCCTTCCACATTCAGGCCATTGACACTGGCGATGGTGTCCCCTGCCAGGCAGAGAAGAGGTCAGCATCTGCTCCACAAGCTTTGAGGGAAGAAGTCTAGCCCTTGTGTTGGCCAGAAAGGGGATGGACGATAACCCCGAGGAATACTAGTGAACTTCCTTCCCCCACTGCTCAGTTGTGGAGAGACCTCCTGGACATTTTTTTTTTAACCCTATCTAAATCACATGCACAAAACCACAGTTATGCCAGACATGGTTGTACATGCCTTGATCCCAGCTACTTGGAAGGTTAAAGTAGAAGAATTTCAAGTCTGAGACCAGACTGGGCTACATGGTTGGTCCAAGGGCAACCTGGGTAATTTAGCAAGACACTGTCTCAAAATAAAAATAGGTCTGGGGATGTAGCTCAGTTGTACAGTGCCTGCCCAGAATACACAAGGCCCTGGGTTCAATCTCCAGTGCCACAAACAAAGAAACCACAGCCATTTCTCCCTGCCCACAGTGACCACCAGCTCGTCCAGGCACAGTACTCCAGTCTAGGTGCTGAGGACCTCACACACTAACCCTCAGGAAGTTAGTGCAAAGGCTGAGCCCTCCCAGCTCCTGGAACTGCCCCTAGAGTTGGGTTATTTCTGTTCAGCCTACACATGTCATGAGACCCAATCAAGACAAGAAAGGGGCAATACGAGTAGCATCCAGCCAGGAACCAACACTGGCTTCAAGCATGAGAAGCCTCAGCTTCTGATGTCCAGGGCCTCTGCTGAGCCCTGGGCTCAGACAGGGCATGCAAGCTTCTCTAACAGTTCCTTTTCTATCTGTAAAAGGGGGTACGAACCCCCTGCTGTGGCTAAGTCAAGGATGGATCAGGAGGGAGAGTGGAGGGGAAACCACTTTGCAAAGTTGCCGTAATATACCAAGGGCTGCAAATAAGCAGACAAGGAGGGAAGGGCCAACAGACAAAGGGGCTGGCAGAACAGGGTGGAGGGAGTCAATGCAGTCTCAGGCTGCCCCTTCTTGGCACCTGAGGGCTCCACATTTGCCCAGTCTCAGGGTCTCCTACTGGAGCATCATTTCCTTCTTAGAGGATGTAACATAAGTACTCAGCTTGAGCCAGGTCAGGGCAGGGGAGGCCCTAATGGCCTGTATCAAGCTGACTAGTGGAATGCTGCTCCTTCCCTAGCTCCTGCCCATCCTGGGTTGCCAGAGGCAGCACAGAAGCATGGCAGTCGCATCACCATTTTCCAGGCACTGGCTCTGTGCCCAGAGAACCCCCTCACTGCACTGTGATGTGAGAATGGTATTAAACCCATTTTGCAGATAGGACTGTGCAAGATCCAAAGCCTGTACTCTATCCATTCTTTTCCTGGCCTTCTCAAACTAGGAGGAGCAAGGAGGATTGGTTTCAGGAAAGATTTCTCATGCCTCTGCTTGGGAATAAGTTCATACACTGTCCCAGAGCCCTATGTCCTGGACCCAGGCCCCACCTGGTGTGAGCCCAGCCAGCTGTGCAGGGCTGGATTCATGAACTCGGCAGACAAAGGTCACCATCTCCACACGCTGCTCCTCTCGGTGGTGAAGACCATAAGTCTGTAACAAATAAGAGAACCCTCAGCCCTGGGGCAGGCAGGTCCATCCATCTCTCACATTGCCCTCCTGACCCCTCACCCCTACCAGCCCAGCTTCTCCCACCTGGATCTCAAAGCCGAAAGTCTGGTTATCCTCCTTCTCCAAGGTCAGCACCTTCCTGCAGAAGACACAGGGGTCAAGACTAGTAGTAAAGGAGTGTGGAGTAAAAGGAGTGTGACAGAGCTAAGTCTGCTGCAGCACACACACTCTAGGGAGGCTGAGACAAGAGGATGGAGGTTTGAGGTCAACCTGGCCTGTATAGTCAGTTCCAGGTCAGCCTGGGCTACGTAGTGACACCCTGTCTCAAAGAGCAAAACAAACAAAAACAAAAACAAACAAACAAAAAATAGTAGCATGGCAGTTGTACAGCTTGGTTCGCAAGGATGCGGAAGTCTGGTCTAGAATGTCCCAGAAGGACCCACAGTCTCCAGTGACAACTCACTCCTCACAGATTTTTGGAATGTCCTTTCCAGACCCAATTGAAATTGGCCTCAGGGAGCTGCACAGAAACCAACCACTTTTGTGGAGGAGGGGAAAGGGAGGCACTGAGAAATGGCTAGCCCCCAGATGGCATTGGCGAGCAGCACCCCGTCCTTCTAGTGAGACCCAGAATATATTCACTGACTAGCTGAGGCCCCAGATTCAGCCCCAGCCTGGAGACTCAAGGCTCCACAGCTTTGGGGAAAGGACAGCCCCACCCCCAGAGGCTAGTCACGAGGCTCTCTCTGAGCAGACCACAGCTGCTCCTCCCAGCTGCGGTGGGGCTGGCCCACCAGATGTGAGGGCTGGGGGAGGGGAGCCTGAGGCCGCCCCTTCCCGCACCGAAAGCCTGCCCACTGAACACAATGCTCTGGAGCTGCTCCAGATCCTCCCCTGCTGGGGGAGCCCAGAGTTTCCTCTGCCCACCCCACCCCCTTCCTTCCCGCCAGCCAGAGGCAGAGTTAAAGCTGCCTCCGAAGGCCCCTTCAAGTCTGGCAGCCTCAGAAAGGCCCTGGAGACCAGACCCCTCAGCTCCCAGTCTCACACACACATCCCACCCCTTGTGTAGCACCTCCCACCTGAGCCCCTCACTCCTCCAACCATAGGCCTTTTCCCTGTGGGTCCTAGAGTAGGCCTGGAAGTTTCACATCTGTCCCAGTGCTCTCTGGGCTTCTGGAAGGGTCGGAAAACTGCAAAGGGCCAGATGGTAAATATTTTAGGCTTTCTTTGAGGGCCCCATATGGCCTCTGTCATACATTGCTCTTTGTTTTTGTTTTTAAAACCCTTTAAAATTATGAAAGAGATATATGTTATGTAGATAGATACATAAACAATTTTTAGCTGAAAGGCCAAACAGGCCAATCCAGCTAGTAGGTCATAGTTTGCTGATCAAGTTCAGAGGAAGTCAGGCCCAAATCAGGCATGGGACATAGGCAGAGAAGGGACTTGTGGACTCCCAGGTCCTGGAGTGAGGATCTACTCTGTCCATCCCTCTGATCCTTCCTAAAAAGGTTAGCACAGGATGGGACCCGCATAGGGACTAAGTTCTGAGCACAGGGCTGGCCAGATTCAAGACACTGGTCATAGCATAGCGTGGCTATGGTGTGGGATCATTGGGTTTGCTGAGCTAAGTGGGCATGGGGAAGCCCTGGAGGCCAGACTTAGACATTCCCCACAGACATTTCCTACTGCCCCCACTCTCTACCTCTGCTGATCCAGATCTCCCCAGGGAGGGGTAACTGACAGGGACTGGGGGTGGATGAGGAGTACCTAATGACTCAAAAGTCCCCACCTCCTGTCTCTGCCGCCCCTACACACAGCCCACACCCCCACCTGCTCCTAGTGGGGGAGCCATACTTAAGGGTGGGAGAATGAAGGATGCTGTGTCGGATGTGTTCCCTCTTCTCCCCCCACCCCGCCACTCCAGCACCTTACTCTTCTGGGCCACAGCAGGGGCTGGGAGAGGGGGTTGTGACTCACCGCTGCTGTTCAGGACTCTGGCTGAGATTCTTCCAGCGGAATCCTGAGCCCTGGGCAGGAAAACAGTCAAGAAAGACTGGTGAGAAGGGCATGTCCTTGAGCAGAGGCTGAGAGTCCTGATCTGGGAGGTACCTCATCTGGGCTCCAGCTCTGGGCATAGCACCCTACTTGCTGCCTGTCTGTCCCTTCCCAGCTCCACCTGCTTTGGTTCTGGTGTAACTGTTGAGTGCAACTATTAGTACCACTTCCAGGCCTTATCCTGTCCCCTGGGACTTCGGGGACACAGCTATTCTGCATTTCAGATGAACCTCTGAGGTTCATCTTAAGAGTATCCACATACAAGTATTAGTGGTTCACACTTGGAATCCTAGCTACTTGGAAGGCTGAGAGGATCATGGTTCAAGGCCAGTCTGGACAAATAGTTCCTGAGATGTCATCTCCAAAATAACCAGAGTAAAATGGACTGGAGGTGTGGCTCAAGCAGCAGAGTGCCTGTTTTGCAAGTGTGAAGCCCTGAGTTCAACCAAAAAAGAAAAGGAGGATCCATGATCTTCTAGGCTCCTACTGGTTTCTAGGCTAGGTGGGTCATGACACTACAATAGTCTTCACCTTCCAGGCCCATGTCTGTAGGGGCTCAGGCCTTCTAGACCCCAAAAACTGAGGCAGGGGCTCTTCCCCAGTGGGATTCAAAGAAGGGTAGGGGTCCTGGGCTCACCCATCAAGGCATACTCCAGGAACCCCTTGACAATGAGGTCTCTCCATGTAAGGTCTAAGCCACAGACAGTAGCTTGGGAGAGCTCAGATCAGGGGCCCAGGCCTGGAGAGATAGCAATCTTAGCCTGAATGTGGCAGAGTAGGGCACAGAGGTGCTAAGTCTGTTTCAGGGCCCAGCTGTGGATCCCTGCTGCAGATAACCAGCAGTTAAGCTGGATTTTTCAACACTGCTATGTATTTTCTGGGACAAAAAAAAGAAAAACTTATTGTCACACTTGTCAGTTTCACTATACTTGAAGAATAAAATTAGGAGTTCTTTTGACAAGGAGAGGTGACAAAGCTGAAGGCCCCTGACTCTTCAGACCCCTTGATAAACCAGAGTGGTCTCTCTCCGTCTGGAAATTTTTGTTTTCTGAAGGAAACCCCATCCTGGACCAGCCCTTTCCCCAAGTGCCAAAACAGCCCAGGGCCTTCCTGCTCAGTGCTCTTGTTAAACTCTCCTTCCCAAGTCACCCCAAGGCAAGGAAGAGAAGGGGGCCCTCTTTCTCCAGAACCAAAGATTAGCTGGGGGGCGGGGGGTAGGACAGTTCCCAAATGGGCCAAGGAGGAAGGACTGGGCAGCACAGAGAGAGACCCCTTTGTCTTTCAACCCGATTTTCATAAAATGCAAATTCTCAACAAGCTGTTCATTGTATGGGGGCAGGGGAAGCTGGGGGCGGGGGAGGGGGGGAGGAGGGGGCACTGCGTGGGGGAAAAGCCACCAGTTCCCACTCCTTAACCTGGGTTTCCAGTCTCTACTGAGAGGGTCTCTAAGCGCTCAGGTCTCCTGAGGCCGGAGGAAGAGCCTCTCCAACAGGGAGACGCAAATGTCGGGTGCGGCTCGCATCCTTCCTGCCCCTTGAGCGCCCTGCGACCCCTCCCACCACGTCCGGTACGGGTTGAAGTCCAGGGAGCCGGCGCCCTCGCATCCCACACGTCAGACTCTGGGCAAGGCAGCAGGCCCCGAATCCATGAGCCCGGACGACCCCGCGGTAGGGTGTGCTCTCCGGGGTCAGTGATGCCCCACACTCTTCCTCGGCGTGAGGGCTCTAGGACCCTTAAGTTCTCTGGGGCGAGCGGGGGAACCCCATCACTAGCCCTCTGCGCTCCAAGTCGAAAAGGAGAGGCTAGGGAGAGGGGGTCCTGCCTGAGAGCTTCAAGACACCTGGACACTGGGAGCGGGGCGAGGGGGGCAGAAAACCAGTTGGAGCGAGTGAAGAAAGGGAACGCTGGGGCAGAGTAAAGGCAGGAGGGAAGGAGAAGATGGGGCGCCGGCGCGTGTGGAGTGGAGGTGAGAGCCACCGAGACTGGGGGAGGCATGGAGGTGGGGGCCGTGGGTGGGGAGGTTTGCGCCTTCTGCGGAGTGGGCCAAGGGGAGTCGACCCGGGTCAGGGGAACGTGAGGCAATCAGTGGACCCTAAAGAGAGAATGCTGTGGGGGTCATCAGACGCTGATGAGGTTGAGCAGATCCCGAGGAAGGGACCCTGGGAGCACCGAGAGTCGGGGCGCAGGGGCGAGGGGGACGCACCTTTCGGCGGGGAAGGGTGCCCCCGGACACGGCGAGCGCGCGGTACAGCTCGGCAGGGTGATAGTCCTCCAGCGCCGCGTACAGCTCATCCCCGGGGGGTCCAGGGGTAGCAGCTGCAGCAGGGGGGCCCGTGGCCGGGGTCGGGGCCGGAGCGGCGGGAGCTACTTCCGAATCGGGAGCCCGGCCGGCGGGGTCCGGGGTGGCCGCCGCCTCGTCTTTCTGCTGCAGCTTCCTGAGTCGGCGGAGGGTCATGGCTCCTGCGCCCCTGCGACGCGGCACTCGCTCCGCTCGGCGGCGCTGGCGGCGCTGGGGGATGCCAGCCGAGCGGGCCGCGTGTCGCCTCCCTTTATAGGCTCAGGAGTGGCGTGGGGCGAGGCCGACGGCTGTCTCGCCCCCGGCGCGCAGGCTCCGCCCCCGGGGAACCGCTGTCCCGGAGCCCCGCCCACAGCGCGCACCGCCTGCCTGGCTGGGGAAACTTGGGGGCCTGGGTGCCCAATGTAGGGAAACCTAGTCGCCGACGGGAGCTGGACGGACAGGGTATCTCGGGGCGGGGCCGGGGTCTACGTGATACCTGAAGGGGGTTCTGTAAAGAGCCACTGCGCGAAATTTGAAATGGGAATGGATGGCTTTAGCGAGGGGGCACAGTAAGGAAGGGGTCAATGCAAGGAAGTTTGGGTAATCTAGGGGAGGATTCGAGGAGATGGGGCGGGGTGGGGGAAGCTGCAGGAGACTTTAGGCCAGTGGAGAGAGGTAGAGGGGCGTGCAGGGGGAGGGGTTTGGTCCCGGAAGAAAGGGAGGAGAAGCCTCTGAAGTGGCTGGGCAGAAGCCCCCAGGGAGTGAAAAGACCTAGAATTTTCCCCAGTTGTACTGGTGTCCCAGAAATGCTGAAAGAGACTGCCTTAGTTTCCGACGTCTAGGGGAAAGGAAGAACGCGGAAACCCTGAAAGCAGGAGGCTTAATTGTGGTGTGTCCTCTCCAGGGTTTGGAGTCATAGTCATCCCTGTTGAATAAACTTTCCTCAGCCTCCCAGCGGAGCTCAGGTCTCCCTTTCCCAGCAAATTCTTACTGTGGAATTGACTCATGGGGTTGGGGATGTGCCCAAGTAGCGTGGGTGCTTAGGTTTGGGGGTAGGGGACCATGCTGAGCCATTCTCAGACTTTGTCTTAGAGACTATTCCCCAGATTCTCTGTTACCTTGGCTTGTGAGGCCATAGGAGAGACAGGGATGGTCCAGCCCAAGTCTGTCATCAGTGGTGCCCAACTAAGAAGCGAGAGAGGGAAGTGGAAGGCCATATGTGCTGTCTAGCCACAAAAGGCGTCAGCAGAAGTCTGGGACTCCTCATCCCAACATGAGGCCAGGCCTGCACTGTCACTGTCCCCTTTCTCCAGTCTTTCCAGATCTGTTACATCTTTATAGCTAACACTTATTGAACACTTGCCATGTGCTATGTGCACTGTGTGTGCTTTTGCATACATGTATTAACTCACCAGTCCTCAGAACAATCCTATAAAATAGGTTCCATTATCATCCCTGACAGAGCAGATGACTGTGGCCCAGGGGTAAGTAACTTGCAGTAGGACAGTCAGTGGCAGCCTGCTTCCAGAGTGCAGTTCTACCTGTGATGCTGTCCTCAGTTCTTCATACTACTCTGTGCCAGCTGGGACTGGCTATGTGCTGGGGTTCCAGAAGCCTTTGGTCTGGTAGGGAGAAGCATATTGTACATATGCTGCGTACAATGAGGGGTGCAGAGGGGGTAAGGGGCCATGCCCACCTTGGAAGGCCAAGAAAGGCTGTCTGCTGCCTGTCTCAGTTCGCCAGTCTGGCTCAGTCTCCCTGTTTGTCTTCTGCCCACCCCCATACTCCTGGGCCCCCAGCCCCACAGAGGTATGGGTGGGCGTGAGCGTTCCTCCAGCCCTCAGTGAATTGCACAAGTCCAGATGGCAGGATGCTTGTGGGGTGGGAGGCAAGGGTGGCTTGGGGACTGTAGGAGCTAAGAGCTAGCTCCCTCAGGGCCTTCCTCTCCCACCTCCTTCTTGGACCACCAAGTGGCCATCAGCTAAGGGGCCGAGGGGGTGTCGGTGGGGAAACATGGGACTTTATTGTGAGCATTAGCACAGATGGACCCCTGGACCGTCTGTTGCCTGCTCCTGACAGACGCCATCTGTGATGGGGGAGGGGTGGGGAGGCAAAGGCAGGGGCCGGAGGCGCAATATTTTCTATGTAATCATTCCTGTGCTTATCCCTGAAGGGACCCTCCTGGAAAGTCCCTATGCAACCTTTTGGATGAAAGAACCCCCTATCGCAGAGGGTCGCTTAGCCTGGTGAAGTGACTGCACCTGGGTCTAATGGCCCTGTTGACAGACCTCCTTGAGGCTGAGGTGGAGGCAGGGATGCCCCAGTTTCTGCAATTTGGCTGCCTTCCTGCTTCAAAGTGCAAGGATACCACCACCAGAGGATTAAAGTTCACACCTCAGTTTCCTCCTCCCATAGGGCAGAAGGAAGGTACTAGAGAACCTCAGGGTAAAGATGAACCTAGGAAAGGCAATTTCTCTTGTCCTTTGTGTGATTTCCTCAAATCCTGGGAATTCAGAGCCAGAAGGGGATTTATGGTAGGGAAAGAGAAGGATGATTGTGGTCCAAGCCCTCATGTAACAGAGGCCAGGGTAGGAAAGACTTTGGACAAACGGCTGGGGAACCCAGGACTCCTGACTCAGACAGCGAACTGAGTGACTGGCAGCTCCCTGAAAGCTGAAATCTGTCCTGCTTCATCCTTCATCTCCCCAGTTCCTCCACAGAGGGATGGGGTACCCAGGATGCTACACTACAGAGTGGTGATGCCCTCTTCTGGCTGTGAGTCTCATGGTGGAAGATGTTCAAACTAGACCGAAAGGTATCACCTGGACTCCAAACTCATTTCAGGATCCCACATAAACCATATGAGGAAGAGGATCTGTGTTCAGCTGGCCAGTGAATTCTGGAACCTCACACTTGTCACGAAGGGGAAGTTGTCTGTGTGGAGGAAGCAGCTGCTGCTCTACTGCAGGTGAAATCCAGAGACAAGCGAAGCAGCTGCTGGTCTTCTCAGGCAGCAACCTTCACGTGCCCCAAAGCCCTGCCTTCCCCAGCTCTCCTCCACCTTCTCCTGAACCCCAGTCTCTTTGCCCAGCATCTGTTCTCATCCAATCTGCTGTAGCCCTTTCAAGCCTGGGGTGGGACTTTCTGTCAGTTGCCTGTAACTTCATATACCATACCCCACTCTACACTTCCTTGCAAATCCCCCAGGGCCCAAGATCCTGAGATACCTGTACTTTATTCTTATGCAGATTTCTCTCTTTTGGAGTGAGTTCCCAAGGTTTCATTCCCTTGGCACCAGCTGTCACGACTCCCAGCACTTAGAATGGGGTTTGGCTAAGACACTGGGGACATGTCTAATGGACAAAGCTAGGTTACACTCCTCTTCTGGACAAGCTCTTTCCCAGACACCCACTGGTCAACAACCCCCCTGGAGGAAATGGGGAGAGCTGAACCTTGCCCCTGTGGACCAGTTCAAGCTCTGGGGTACCATCAGGAAGTCAGATCACATGAGCTACCGCTTTAGAAGTTCAGGCCCTCTGGAGTCTCACCCAATCTTAGGCTCTAGCATAGTCATTTCAGGGGCCAGAACTGGTAGGGACAAGTAGCTTGCTGGGGTTCTTCTTTGGATGCTGACACTGCTTCTGAGTCCAGGAGACAGGCAGGAGAGGACCTGGGGCTCAGCCGGCTCTCTGGCTCATCAGGAATGAGGGGCTGGGCCTCCACTTGCATGACATTGCCTCTTGTGGAAGGCTTGGACAGCCGGTGGGCAGCTGGCTAGGCAGGGAGCAGTTGTTTTTCTTAATGGCTGCTGTTGCCCTACAATTTCCATGGGACAGTCTGTTGGTACCCTACCTCCTGGTAGGGGAGGATGTCCACCAGCAGGATTGAACTGTGCTAGTGTCTGCAAGCAGGAGCCAGGTAGATGTGGCAGTTTGGTCTATCCCACCCAGAAGCCAGGGACCATCTTGCCTCTTGGATGGGGGTGAAGGGTGTCTCTAGCTAGAACAAGTTGGAGTGGCAGAAGGGAGGCAAACTCTGCTCCCATCTGAGCATTGACACACCACTCCTAAGACATGGAGTGTGATCTTACTCCCTCATTTCAGCACAGGTACTCATGGTGAAGACAGAAAATGACAGCTCTGAGGTCTCTCATATCCCAGAGCTCTTTCCTTTTGGCAAACACACCTGCTCAGTTGTTTAATCCCTGGTTTCCTTCCCAGGGGCCAGCATTGTGCACTAGCCTCTCCCAACCCCCAAACACAAGACTACAAGGCTCAGACTGTCCCAGTGACGCCAGACTGAAGTCAGCTCCCCCTTCCTGCCACTGTTGGCATCTGACCATGTCCAACTTGTGTTACCCACCCAAGGACTCTGCCTTTCCTCCCAGCTTTTCCTGTTATGCCACCCAAGCACCTCCCACAAGCAGTACCTTGATCTTCCCAGAAGACAAACACAACCCTCTCAACTCCCCAGTTTAAACTCCTCTGCTATGGTCTGAATGTTAGTGTCCCCCAAAATTCATATGTTGGAACCTAATTCCCAATTCGATCATATTAAAAGGTGAGGCCAGGAAGGCTCTGACCTCATGAATGGGATTAGTGACCATTTAAAAGAAGCTTAAGGGAGCCTGTTTCCTCCTACTGTTTCATGAGGACTTATAAGGCACCATCTATGAGGAAATGACCTTCACAAGATGCTGAATCTGCTGGTGCCTTGAACTTGGACTTCTCAACCTCCACTCTAATGTGTCCCCCTGCCACACACACACCCAGGATTGAACTCAGGGCCTCACACATGCTAGGCAAGTGCTCTATCACTGAGCTTACTTCCCCAGACCTAAGATACTTTTTGGTTTTTTTTTTTTGTTCTTTTTTAAATAGCAGCACAAAAGTACTAAGACATCCTTCAATAGCATTCTTCCCACAAGAATGACAAATAGTTTTAACTTATGGGACAGTAAACGTTAATTATTGAGAAGTTATTAGAGACCAACACAAGAGGAAAATTTACTAATAAATTAGCACAGTCCAAGATAGCTGCCTGGAGAAGCATCCCTCCAAAGTGATGGCATTGATAATGTATACTTGCGGTTTCTGGTTCCCAGATGAAGTTCTGAGTTTTCAACATATGAACAGCTCCAATGGACTTTTTCCTACAGCCCTGGCTTACTTGCTGTGAACACATCAAGCACCTGTTTTTTGTTGTTGTTTTTTGAGACAGGGTGTCACTAAGTGCCCT